TTGGCTATGAAAGCATAGAGAGCTGCAGAATAGGCTATAGAAAGATGACCTTACAGGCATGTCGTGGCGACAGAGACGTTAGTGTAAAGGACCCGCTGATTCATCATCATCAATCAGCAAGTCCTTTACAGAACGTCGCTCTCTTCATGGCATGTCTGAAAGTATCCCTTTCTTTAGCCAGCTCTCCAGCCCCATGTCCTTTCAATGCCAATGCATCTCCAATGTCTTGTATCCATCTTCGCCGTGGCTGACCCCTGCCTCGCCTTCCACAAACTGCACCTTCCATCACTATCTTTACCAAGCCACCATGACGCTTTATGTGGCCAAAATACTTCAACTTTCAGGACAGCATGCTTTTATGAGCCTGTTCTCCTTGATGTTCAACTCGTTTAGAATGTCGATGTTTTTCCTCTTCCTGATCCATGGTATTCTAAGAATTTTTCTATAGCATTTCAATTCAAAAGCTCCAATCTTTTTCCTCAATGACTGAGTGAGAGTCCATGACTCACAACCGTAAGTTGCCACAGGAAAAATGCATGATCCCATAATACCCGCTGACTGTTTATTGTAAATGACCGCAAAAGAAATGTAGTTTTCGAGAAAAGTCAAACCATCCAGGTGTATAACTCGTTGACTCTCCCTAGCTACCACCCCCTTCCCCCTCCTTCCCCCCACCGGTTCAGTCGTTACCTGTACTCGAGTGCATTTCTTCTCCTTTCATGACACCCTCTCGTTTGTTTTTCTATTATGCCAAGATATTATTTGCTTTATTGTGGAGAGAGGAGAGAAAAGCATTTCGCCTGCTAGCAGACGATATTTTCAGATTCAGTTTTTTTTTTCAGTCTCAGCAATACCTTTAACGTAATACAACTTTCCCACAACTGCTTGCACTGTAGCAGAGGTTCCCAAACTGGATGCCGCAGTACTCAGGGGTGTAGCGAGCGTATGCCACGGGTGCCGCGGCAATAATCAAGAATATTTCCAAATCTGCTTGAGATCAGCGAAGACAGCAGTTTCAAACAGAAACAACGTGAAGGAAGCCAACGGATGCAGGTGTAATCAGAAGACATTGTTTAGGCAAGCAAGGCTGCAGTGCATTCTCAACGTACGCTTACATAAAAAAACAGATACAGGACCAAACTTTCTGGGTCTAGTGATTTGAGGCTAAAATTAACTAACATTCCCAGATTCATAAATGAAATAATCAAAAATTCATCAAAACAATTTAATTCATCGCGTTAAAGTTCATATTAAATGTGTGTCGTTTTTTCTTCTTTGCCCAAATATTCAAACCACTTTACGAGTAGGTGTGCCGCGACATTTTGTTTGCCTGACAAGGGTGCCGCAGCAAAAAAAGTGTGAGAACCGCTGCACTATAGACAAGCAGTTTTGTAGGTTTTGCCTAGTCATTATCACAATGTCACTTGTTAATGTTAATGTCTTTATGTCATTATCACAATGTCACTTGTTAATGTTAATGTCTTTATGTCATTATCACAATGTCACTTGTTAATGTTAATATCTTTATATCATTATCACAATGTCACTTGTTAATGTTAATGTCTTTATGCCATTATCACAATATCATTTGTTTATGTTAATGTCTTTATGTCATTATCACAATGTCACTTGTTAATGTTAATGTCTTTAACGCATACATGAAGTTACTATTACTCTTAGCCAGCAATCTCTGTCTCTCTCTTTCTCTCTCTTCCTCTCCCCCCCCCCCCCCCCCCCCCCCATCTTTTCCCCCTTACCCTTTTTGTAACTCATTATTCTTACATTGTCGGCGTCTGTGGCTTAGGCTGTGCGACCGCGCTTCGTAATACAGAGGTGCCGGGTTCGATCCCAGCGGTGGGCCTTGCACCTTGCGTTGGTTTAGACAGTGGTATTGAGAAACCGACAGTCAAGAAAGCAATGAAAAACCACTGGTCGTTAATTTGCCTAGAAAAACCACAACAGAAAAAAAAAAAAAAATGCTGCAGTTCCGTTCTGTAACTTCCTGTAATGGGTACAAAACTAACTTTTTAAAAATTGCAACATTACAGCAACATGTCTCTCTTCTGCTCTTACTTTATAAAATCTCATATTAAAGTTTTAACCAATCTTTAAATTGTAGTGCTATCAAACAGTAATCCTCTTCCCCCCCCCCCCTCCCACTTCGGCACCTTTTTATAACTCACTATTCTAGCATTCTAGCAATATCACGCTCCTACGCGCTCTTTTTCTTGAAAATCCGAATAAAATACTATATAAAAATATAAGAATTAATGCTATATAAATATTTATATATTGTGTCAATGATACTTTCAGATAGTAATTCTCTCTCTCTCTCTCTCTCTCTCTCTCTCTCTCTCTCTCTCTCTCTCTCTCTCTCTCCCCTCTCTCTCTTTCTCTCTCTCTCTCCCTCTCTCTCCCTCTCTCTCTCTCTCTCTCTCTCTCTCTCTCTCTCTCTCTCTCTCTCTCTCTCTCTCTCCGTTTTCTTTCCCCCTTTCCACTTCACTTGTACAACATATGTATGACGTATTCTGAATAACTAAAAAAATTTTATATACATGTTTTCCCCAATCTATACTTTGCGTTAATAATACCTTTAGACAGTAGTTGTTTGTCTCTTTCTCTCTTCCTCTCTCTCTCTCTCTCTCTCTCTCTCTCTCTCTCTCTCTCTCTCTCTCTCCTCTCCCCTTTTCCCACCTCACTATTACATCATTAAAGCATTTTGACTGTCTTTTTAATTTTCTTCACAAGCCTTTAAAAAAACATTATAAAGATGCACTTACCAGTCTACATACTGTGTTATTAGTACTTTCAGATAGTAATTCTCTCTCTCTCCTCTCTCTCTCTCTCTCTCTCTCTCTCTCTCTCTCTCTCTCTCTCTCTCTCTCTCACAGACCCATGCTCATATCATAATAGAATCGCACTCACAATGATACAACGATTACGAAGCGACACACACCCAACCTGACATTACACCTTGATACGACACGAGATAGCTCGTCAGAAACTCGGCTCGGCGTTGTTTAGTGCCAAAGGTTATTACGTCTACTTCTCCTGTTATTAATCCCTTCGCTAGTATTGATTGACACGCATGGGAGGGTGGAGTTGAAAAGCAGATATCACATCCTCAGTTTAATGTATATACGTATTTTTGTATTTGTTTTCAGGTTTAATGATTTTAAATGAGCCTCCTCCTCCTCCTTCTTCATCTTGTTCTTCTTCTTCTTCTTTTTCTTCTTCTACTGCTTCTTCTTCAGCGAACAAAGATTGAGGTGACTCTACACGAAGACACTCCTGAGACCCTTTCCCATGATATGGTATATAGACTCGTCCCTGTTAGCAAGATAATCTGTCTCTCTCGCAGACACACCCTGGTGTTGTGTGTGTGTGTATTTTTTTTAAAATAAAGAAGCTGTTAGGAGTTGTTAAACTAAAAAAAACTTGGAGCCATACTCAGGAGGAGATCGGAGCACTTATGGTCATGTCCGATGTGCGATGCAGATGATCTTTAAAGGAACAATGAATAAACAATAGGAAGCTGTAGTGAAATAATGATATTTCGCTCGCTTACTGACAATGTTAGTGGCGTAAACTTTACAGGACCTTGCAAACCTACCCCGGCATTTGTAGGCTATTTGTGGTTTTACTAAGCCATTTTACATCCAGTAGTTTTCCAATGATACTCAACGGTCAGCATTCCAAGCCACTGTCAAAATAAACAGAAAGCGATATGTTGCATAACAGCCTTCAGCTGAACCGAACCGGCTATTTCTAAAGTACAGAGTTCGTAACCCCTGACACCTAGACACTAAATATTTTTTTTTTTAAATCATAAAATAGTCTGTAATTCCCGATAGCCCATTTCTGTCGTATATACCCAATATGAGCATAGGTATTCAAACAAAACCCGCCAATCCGTCTGACTAATACCATAGTTCCTGTTTAACCGCAATAGTTTTTCCTGAAAAGAAATACTGACAGCCTGAACGATTTGAACATCAAGGAAGATTGACTAGTAAAAAGCATCCTGTCTCGGAATCGGAAATCCTGTGTCCATATCAAGCACCACAGAGGATTTGGAATAGTAGCAGAAGAGGGATAGGGGCTGAACAGCGCAAGATATAAGTGACACTAAGGTGTGACAGTGCACCAGGCGGGAGACACAAATGTCAAAAGCAGACTGCTGCATTGTATGTACAGTCGATGCCGATTTGTGGCATTCCGCGACCCAGTCGCAATAGTGTAGAAACCCAGTGGTAAACACGTCACAGCACATTTCGCATATAACATCCAGGATGATTTAGCTGCGGCGTTTTTTTAAAGCATATTTTACGCTCATTAGTTTGCCATTGCCCCTAAACGATCGGCTCTTGGTGCCACTGTCGAAACCAACAGAAGACGGTCCACTGCTAAACTATTGCAGCTTGGATCGAACTCGGCACCCCGGCATCACAAAGAACGTCCGAAACGCCTAAGCCACAGACGCCGACTGTGCAGGTAAAAGCGTTTTATTTTTTCTTATTTTTGCCAAAGTCAGAACAAAACTTCCATCACCTTCTGAGGATTTAAAACCTCCATTCTCCTGCCAGAGTTCTGCGTTTTATCCCCTCTGCCATCCGCTCCTTCATAACCTAGTATTCCAAAAATCCAAGCATGTCGTATACCCCCCACGGCACAACCCGATATGACATTACCACTACCCTTTCATTACGCTACGCTGTCAAACAGCAAACACAAATTAATTCTCCAGCGGACACCTCAAGGCAACACCTAGAAATCGAAACAATACAACGTACACCAACAACCAGAAATTCCCCTATGCTTCGGTGACAGACAAGCACAGCAGGAATGGGTAGGGTGTAGGAAAAAAATTAAATCAATATACGCACGTGAACAACTTTTTTTCTGGTCACTTTTTCCCACCCTTTCCTATCTCACTTAATGTTAGTTTCGACAAATTTGCCAACACTAAGCTGGGGTAAACTTTCAGTATCGATCTGGTT